GCAAGGCCATAAAAAGATATGATGAGTCAAGTGTGATTAATTATTTACAGTAAGTGTTCTGTGGTGCTGAAGTTTTTAACATTTTTCATTTTATATATTTAGACCTCATTCTCAAAAGATGTAACTGAGTGTCACATTTTCAGTTTCTGAGTTACCTTTATTATTATGTATTTGTTTATTTATTTTCAGTTCTGAAAAGCTTTCATCTCTTTGTTCTCTAATCTCAGCATGCCAGGATAGTCGACGACTGGTCTGGCCTCAGGCCAGTTCGCAGCAAAGTCCGACTGGAGAGGGAAGCCATATGGTCTGGTGAAACCCCCATAGAGGTATCCTTTTAAGATCTAAGTAGCGGAACTGTAAATACATATTTCTGCTATTAATTGTCTAAAATACTGTGGCATTATTCAGGTGATACACAACTATGGCCACGGAGGTTTCGGACTCACCATTCACCGAGGCTGTGCCGAGGAAGCGGCGAGGCTCTTTGGTCAGATCGTGGAACAAAAAGGCAAAGGTCCAAAAGCTCGCTTGTGAATTGGTGTGCAGAAGTAACGATTGATGTTCTTTTTTTTTCAAATGTCAGCATCAGTGCACATATTGCTCCTAGCCTCCACTAATTTAATATTAAACATCATTTTCAAACAATCTCACCATTGTTAATTAAACAATGGCACATATGTAAGACAATCGTGCTGAAATCTATTTGAGATTTGGATCATTTGAGAAGCACTTTTTATGTATAAATTGTACATATTTTTGTGAATTTATAGTGCACTAAATGTAAGATTTGCAACGAATTTAAAATATTTAACTAATAAATTAATAAAAACACGACAGTTGCTTGTCTTTGAAAGATCATTTACTACAGTATCATACACATTTACATCCAGTGCGTTGACAAGGATCTGTGCACACAGACACGTAATGCAGCTCTTCATCTCAAACACTGGCAGGTAACAGCTCATCAGACCTATACTCTCTGTATTTATTTATTTTTTTAAACAAAACTTCCCTAAGTCCATCTCCTCATCATCTCTGTTACAAACAAAAGCAAAGACAACAACTAAACCAGGTATTGATACATTATTTACAGAACGCAACATCCCGCTGTGGACATTCGGGAACGCAGCATCAAAGTCTGCTGAAGTAGGGCACGAGATGCATCAAAGTCTATAGATTATGACACCACATACATGTGTGAATGTTTTTGTATTTTTAAATTATGTAAACCTTGCTAACTAGGTTCAGTCAGCTTTGGGTGTTGAGAAACTGCTCAGATTTAAATGATCAAACACTTTAATGTTAACGTAAATACAGGATCCGTGGAGCGTGTTTGTGCTGTAAATATGAAAAGTTATTATCTTACTGATGTTAATATCTTCTGGTGAAGGTTTCAACAGATCCCTCAGCTTGCTATAAAGAATCTGTCCTGATAATGATCAAGAGATGAGGTGGTATTTTCAATGTTACCTGCATTTTCCATGGGTCTTTACCGTGTTAAAATGTGAACTAATACTGACACAAGAACAACACATACAACACAAGAGTTCAAAAGGATGCTCGGTGTATGAAAGCTAGTGACTTCCTTTCACCTCTCGCGGCTGAAACTATTAAATAACCCCACACCCTTTTCATTCAGATGCCCTGTTGTTTTGATTGTGTGGGATTTTCCTTCAATCTATCAATGCTCTGTTTT